TCTTAAAAGCCCAAAAGAACTCTGAAGGGTGGTATGTAACAACAACAGGACAAGTAATAGTGCCACCGACAATAATGCGGAAAATTCTACAAACTGAAAGTCAGAAATGTCATTGAGGTGCAAAAGCATTGGTAACTTATTTAAAACGAGGAATAATTTCCACACAGATGTTAACTATGGCAAAAGCAGTGGGATCGAAATGTGAAATTTGTTTGAAAAACAATCCAGTCGTAAAAAGACAAGTTGAAATGGGAAGAATTAGAGTAGGAATGGAACCAGGAGATTATTGGCAGGTTGATTTTGCGGAACTACCGAAGGTACAAGGATACAAATATCTGTTAGTAGGGGTTGACACTTTTTCTGGATGGCCGGAGGCCTTTCCCCGTCGCACCTATCAAGCAAAAGAAGTGGTGAAGTGGTGGCTTAAAGAAATCATTCCACGATTTGGAGTCCCTTTAGGGATATCATCAGATAGGGGTCCACATTTTATTGCAACCACAGTACAAGAAGTTAGTAAACTATTAGAAATATCATGGAACTTACTTACACACTCCTTGGAGGCCCCAATCTAGTGGACAGGTAGAAAAGATGAATCAGACAATAAAGAGACAGATCAGTAAAATATGTCAGGAGGCTAAAATAAAATGGCCACAGCATTACCTATAGCTCTGCTAAGAATCAGAGTAAAACCCAGAAGCAAAATGTCAGTAAGCCTCTATGAGATCCTCTATGGAAAGCCGTATGAAGCGCCGGAACCCAACCCTAATACCCCTATTAAAGGGAATCAGGATGTTTATAATTACGTGCTGTCTCTCGGTAGAACCTTAACTCAACTGCGGAGCACTCTGGTGTGGAATAGGCCACTGTCCCTGGAAAATCCAGCACATGACATCCAACCAGGAGACCAAGCATACGTCCGGAACTGGAACGAAGAACCATTAAAAGAACGGTGGGACGGACCGTACCAAGTACTGCTAACTACGTTTACAGCAGTAAAGGTAGAAGGGTGGATTCTTGGATACATTATACACGAGTAAAGAAAGTTCCAAAGGTTTGGGAAACACAGATACTAGGCCCTACGAGATTAAAGCTGAAATGTAAATAAGATGTCTGGGTTCTGTTACAAAACTTTGATTGTCATCTGGTCACTAACACAGCTGGTATCTATTCCTATCCTAGGAATTCCTCAGAAAAATGTTTTGACAAAACTTAAAACAAGATGCCCTCAAAAATGAAAAACATGAGCAGAATAACAGCATGTTTGCCGATACCCAAAGCAGCAGGAGAACCAATTGAATGGGAAATAATAACATTTCCACTTCCAGAAACCAATAAAACAGTGGCCTGTCAGGAAAAAGAAACAATAAAGAATGTGACAGTGACAGAATATCAAAAGGAAGGAGTTCTAGGTGCCTCTATAACAGAATCATTGTGCAAAGAGAAATTAAACACCCAATTCACTACCTATGAAGAAGGAATTGGAAAATGCATTTATGATAAAGAAATTAAAATAATTCAACAAATAAGAGAAAAGACATGGGAGTGCCAAGAGAAAAATAACTCACAGGAAACTTGGGATACAATTTGGTCAGTAGGTATCCTGCAAAAATTTCAATATGGAGGAGAGACACCTTGGTGTTTAAGATGGACCAGAAAACAAAGCCTAACAGAGGACATGATCATATAGAGCCAGTCAAACAGGATGAGAGTGTCCCCTGGTGGAATTGTACTAAGGTTCTGGAGTGATACCGATCCTGAAACAATTACAATGCCCCCTGTTAGAACTGCTTTGATGGCAGGATGTGCATGCCGAGGACTGAAAGTTGGAGGAGAAATAATCAAGGCCCCTATTAGAACTCCATATCTAGTAAACTGTAGGTATTCGACAGTACACAGTATGGGACATTTGGTATGGGCAACTAGCGATGGAACCTGGACTACTCACCTATCAATGGAAGGTCCAGTTAGAGAAATCACTTTAGGGTTACCCACACTCTGTCCAATATGGAAGAAGTCACCGTTCAGAGGCAAATTGGAAACTTTACAAATCTGAACAAAAAGGAGTGTAGACGATGAAGATACTTGGCAGGAACCCTCCACAGGTACCAAAGTAGGATGGGCCCTGCCCAGGTAGCAACCTACCGAAACAGGGAAATGATTTATGATCCGATTGGTCAAACAGAAAGATTAGCCAGAATAACAAGGAAGGGATTCAGAGATATAAATTTGCAACTGCAAGCAGCAACTAAAATGACCTTGCAGAACAGAATGGCATTGGACATGTTACTGATTAAAGAACATGGTGTTTGTATATTTAAAAGACAGAATAGACCATTGTTGTATTCATATTCCTAATGTAACTGCAGACGTAGAATACTATTTCTCAATTGACCAAAATTGACAAGAAGCAGAAAAGGAAAAAGAATATATTGAACAAAATTGACACCTTGGTGTTTCTGATGATACATCTACTGAAATAGCCAAAACAGTGCATGGCTTAGTTACAGAGGAATTGAAAAGAAAGTTACTCCACTTTTTTGCCTGATAATTAGGAGGATGTGTCAGATTTCTGGTCACTGCTCCTGTAATTCGATGAGTCCATGCACTGTTTCGGGCTATTTTTTTCGGATGCAAAGATGCATTAGATAGATCATCAGAAACACAATCAGCATCATGATTACCATTTCTGTTTCAATATATTCTTTTTCCTTTTCTGCTTCTTGTTCAATTTTGGTCAATTGAGAAATATTGTATTCTACGTCTGCAGTTACATTAGGAATATGAATACAACAATGGTCTATTCTGTCTTTTAAATATTCATGAACACCATGTTCTTTAATCAGTAACATTGCTACCTGGGCAAATAGGGATTCTAGGGCCCATCCTACTTTGGTACCTGTGGAGGGTTCCTGCCAAGTATCTTCATCGTCTACACTCCTTTTTGTTCAGATTTGTAAAGTTTCCAATTTGCCTCTGAACGGTGACTTCTTCCATATTGGACAGAGTGTGGGTAACCCTAAAGTGATTTCTCTAACTGGACCTTCCATTGATAGGTGAGTAGTCCAGGTTCCATCGCTAGTTGCCCATACCAAATGTCCCATACTGTGTACTGTCGAATACCTACAGTTTACTAGATATGGAGTTCTAATAGGGGCCTTGATTATTTCTCCTCCAACTTTCAGTCCTCGGCATGCACATCCTGCCATCAAAGCAGTTCTAACAGGGGGCATTGTAATTGTTTCAGGATCGGTATCACAATCCAGAACCTTAGTACAATTCCACCAGGGGACACTCTCAGTCCTGTTTCGACTGGCTCTATATGAGCTCATGTCCTCTGTTAGGCTTTGTTTTCTGGTCCATCTTAAACACCAAGGTGTCTCTCCTCCATATTGAAATTTTTGCAGGATACCTACTGACCAAATTGTATCCCAAGTTTCCTGTGAGTTATTTTTCTCTTGGCACTCCCATGTCTTTTCTCTTATTTGTTGAATTATTTTAATTTCTTTATCATAAATGCATTTTCCAATTCCTTCTTCATAGGTAGTGAATTGGGTGTTTAATTTCTCTTTGCACAATGATTCTGTTATAGAGGCACCTAGAACTCCTTCCTTTTGATATTCTGTCACTGTCACATTCTTTATTGTTTCTTTTTCCTGACAGGCCACTGTTTTATTGGTTTCTGGAAGTGGAAATGTTATTATTTCCCATTCAATTGGTTCTCCTGCTGCTTTGGGTATCGGCAAACATGCTGTTATTCTGCTCATGTTTTTCATTTTTGAGAAATCCTCAGTCAGACCTATCATTAAATTTTCCTCAGGATTTCGACGGTATGATTGGATTATCTGTGCTGAATTCACTGATCTTTTAGTCCTTTTTCCCATAACTTCAATTTTGCCGTGGCCAATTGCAGATTCAGTCCTATAGGACGATTTACCTTTTCCCAAACTACCTTTATTAGTGTTGGTCTTATCGGAATGGTTTCTGTGAACTTGCAGGTCAGAATGGCATCTTGTTTTAAGTTTTGTCAAAACATTTTTCTGAGGAATTCCTAGGATAGGAATAGATACCAGCTGTGTTAGTGACCAGATGACAATCAAAGTTTTGTAACAGAACCCAGACATCTTATTTACATTTCAGCTTTAATCTCGTAGGGCCTAGTATCTGTGTTTCCCAAACCTTTGGAACTTTCTTTACTCGTGTATAATGTATCCAAGAATCCACCCTTCTACCTTTACTGCTGTAAACGTAGTTAGCAGTACTTGGTACGGTCCGTCCCACCGTTCTTTTAATGGTTCTTCGTTCCAGTTCCGGACGTATGCTTGGTCTCCTGGTTGGATGTCATGTGCTGGATTTTCCAGGGACAGTGGCCTATTCCACACCAGAGTGCTCCGCAGTTGAGTTAAGGTTCTACCGAGAGACAGCACGTAATTATAAACATCCTGATTCCCTTTAATAGGGGTATTAGGGTTGGGTTCCGGCGCTTCATACGGCTTTCCATAGAGGATCTCATAGAGGCTTACTGACATTTTGCTTCTGGGTTTTACTCTGATTCTTAGCAGAGCTATAGGTAATGCTGTGGCCATTTTATTTTAGCCTCCTGACATATTTTACTGATCTGTCTCTTTATTGTCTGATTCATCTTTTCTACCTGTCCACTAGATTGGGGCCTCCAAGGAGTGTGTAAGTTCCATGATATTTCTAATAGTTTACTAACTTCTTGTACTGTGGTTGCAATAAAATGTGGACCCCTATCTGATGATATCCCTAAAGGGACTCCAAATCGTGGAATGATTTCTTTAAGCCACCACTTCACCACTTCTTTTGCTTGATAGGTGCGACGGGGAAAGGCCTCCGGCCATCCAGAAAAAGTGTCAACCCCTACTAACAGATATTTGTATCCTTGTACCTTCGGTAGTTCCGCAAAATCAACCTGCCAATAATCTCCTGGTTCCATTCCTACTCTAATTCTTCCCATTTCAACTTGTCTTTTTACGACTGGATTGTTTTTCAAACAAATTTCACATTTCGATCCCACTGCTTTTGCCATAGTTAACATCTGTGTGGAAATTATTCCTCGTTTTAAATAAGTTACCAATGCTTCTGCACCTCAATGACATTTCTGATGTTCAGTTTGTAGAATTTTCTGCATTATTGTCGGTGACACTATTACTTGTCCTGTTGTTGTTACATACCACCCTTCAGAGTTCTTTTGGGCTTTTAAGAGTCCTGCTAACTTTTCATCTTCTTTTGAATAGTTTGGACTTTATGGAAGATAGGTGTGGAGCGGGCTTACCTTCAGAGGTATCAAAGCCATCATGTTCCATACCCTCCAGGCTATTTGTCGGGCCGTCCGATCTGCCAATGTATTTCCTTCAGATATCTTTGAAGTTCCTCCTTGATGCGCCTTGCAATGCATGATGGCTACCTGTTTAGGTCTTTGCACAGCAATTATTAATTTTAAAATTTCCTTTTGATACTTTATGTTAGTCCCATGTGAGGATAAAAGTCCCCGTTCTTTCCATAATGCTCCATGAATGTGTACCACACCAAATGCATATTTTGAGTCTGTCCATACATTTACCTTTTTGCCATTGCTCAGTTCCAACGCTCTCGTGAGAGCTATTAATTCTGCCCATTGGGCCGATGTTCCAGGAGGCAGTGCTTTGGCTTCGACTACCTCTTGTTGCGTTGTCACAGCATACCCTGCGTATCGTGTCCCGTTCTCCACAAAACTGCTTCCATCTGTGAAGAGTTCCCAGTCTGGTCGTTCAAGAGGTACATCCTTTAAGTCCGTTCTGGTTGCATATGTATGTTCGATGACTTCTATGCAGTCATGTTCAAGAGTTCCTTCTTCTAGGTCAGTTCCTAGAAAAGCTGCTGGGTTTAGCAGATTAGTAGTTCTCAAGTTTATATCATCCTGTTCCATTAGGATTGCCTGATATTTCATCATCCGGCTAGGGGACAACCAATGCCCCCCTTTTTGTTCTAGAACAGTGGTTACCATATGTGGCACAAACACATCGATATGTTTTCCCAAAGTTAATTTCCTAGCTTCTTGGATCAAAATGACAGCTGCTGCTACTGCCCTCAAGCATGAGGGCCATCCTGTACTCACCGGATCCAGGTGTTTTGAGAAATATCCCACCGGTCTTTTCCAGCTTCCGAGTTTCTGAGTTAATACTCCCATTGCCAACCTCTGTCTTTCGTGGACAAACAATTGAAAACCTTTTGTCAAATCTGGGAGTCCCAGTGCCGGTGATTTTGTTAACGCCTCCTTCAGATTTTTGAAGGCCTCTTTCTGTGGTTTGTCCCAAACAAAGGCATGTGATTTTTGGGCTTCGTACAGGGGTTTGGCAATAAGTCCATAGTCCATTATCCATAACCTGCACCACCCTGTCATGCCCAAAAACATTCTTAGTTCATGCAAGTTTCGTGGTTCTGGGATGGCACAGATTGCCTCTATGCGATTTATTCCCAGTTTTCGCTGCCCTTGTGAAATCTCACATCCCAGATACAGCACAGTCATGCATGTAATTTGTGCCTTTTGAGACTTTATAACCATTCAAGCCTAGCTGATTCAGAATTTCAATTGTCACCTTTATGCACAGGGACCTTTGTTCTGTTGCAATAAAAATGTCATCTACATATTGTAACAAAAGGTATTGTGATCTTGGTACCTGTATTTCTCCTTGGGTGGTCCATGCTTCCAATTCCTTGGCCAATTGGTTTCCAAATAGGGTCGGACTGTTCTTGAATCCTTGTGGAAGTCTGGTCCATGTCACTTGTGTTTTCCGTCCATTCTGTGGATTTTCCCATTCAAATGCAAACAGTTTCCTGCTATTTTTATCAAGAGGAATGCAGAAGAAGACATCCTTTAAATCAATTACTGTAAACCATTTATATTTCTCCTTCACAGATGTTAGCAATGTATAAGGGTTTGCCACCACCGGGTGGATGTCTTTTGTTATTTCATTTATTGCCCTCAAGTCTTGTACTTATCTATACTCACAGTTTGGTTTCTTTACCGGGAAAATTGGCGTGTTATATTCTGATTCACATTCTTCTAAAATTTGGTATTTTAAAAATTTCTCAATTGTTTTTATAATTCCATATCTTGCTTCTAGTTTTAATGGATATTGTTTAATCCTTACTGGTTTAGCTCCGTCTTTTAATTCTACTACTATCGGCTGAGCTGCTTTTGATTTTCCCGGGATTTTGGTTTCCCAGACTGTCGGTATTACAGCCTGTTGCACTTCTTTTGGAATTTGTGGAATAGGTTTGTATTTGAGAACTAGAATCTGTCCTGGTTTGGATTCAGGGATTTGCATTATCAATTTGCTGTTTTCAAAAGCAATTGTAGCATCCAATTTACTTAATAAGTCCCGTCCCAATAGAGGAATGGGACATTCAGGCACATATAAAAATTCATGTGTCAATTCTTTTCCTCTAAATCGTAAGTCTAGGGGTTGCAGGGGTTCTTTCCCTGTGGCTCCCACAATTGTCATTGTTTTCTTTCCTATTCTTCCGTGCAAATCATTTAAAACTGAATAAGTGGCCCCCGTGTCTATTAAAAATTTTACTTCTTACTCTCCTAATTGGATTTTTACAAGGGGCTCCTTATTTTCTACTCGGCCTAGTCAGCTCTGATTATCAAATTCCCCCAACACCATTGTTTTAGCTATGTGATCCTGCAAGAAATTTGCTTGGAACATGAACTGCCCCCAATGAGACATTCATTTTTCCAATGTCCTTCCCTGTTGCAAAGTACACATTGATTATATCCTATTCTTTCTGTGCTCATTCCCATCCTTCGATTATAAATCCTCTGCCTTGTCCCCTCCTTTTAAACTTTTCCCTTCCCCTAGGGTTAGGGGAAATTTTTCTTCCTGTATCCCGCCAGTTTTTTTGTTGTTTTGGGGGTTTTTTTCCCATTATTATACACCTTCCAAGTCCCCTGTCCTTTCCCCCAGTTTTTGCAGTTTTTTTTCTGATATCTCAGATCCCCCCGGAAAATAAGGCTAATTGTGCTTTAGCCTGTTGTTTCCCCATCTAAACATTTTCTTTCCGGTCCTTAAGTTTTCAGAAAAAGATGGGGATTTTCCTTCTCCTAAAATTATACAATTTTACCCAAAAATCTTTTTTGGGATAGCATGTTTTTTTAAATACCAGTTTTCCAAAATTTTTTCCCCTTTGTGTTTATCCCCCATCGGGGTTTTCCCTTGGGAATTTTATTATATTTTCCCCCAACAAACCCCCTTTCCTTTACTTCCCGCAGCACCCATCTCTTTTTTTTGAGTCCATAAGGGGGTTAAGATCTGAATATCCCATATTTTTATTTTTATAAACTTTTTTTACTAGATTTTCTTTTTTTCCGTGATTGTTTCCATATAACCAAAACCCCGGGGGAAAAAGGGGTTTAAGTAATGGCCCCCAGTTTTCTTTTCCTTAAAGGGGCAAGCACCCCCACCCAGGCGGCTTTTCCTTCTCCCCTGGCGGTTCTGGGGAAAGGGGGGACAGGGGGGTTTTTCTTACCTCCCCATTTCCCCTCTCAAATCACTATCACTTTCCCCTTCCCCCCTTTTCATTTGTCCGCGGACATTCCAAACCCCCCCTTTTTTGGGAACCCTGGCCCCCCCGTTTCCCCCCCCTTCACCCCCAAATTTTTTTTCCTTTCTAAAACTGCCCTTTTAGCAAAGGGAAAAAACCACTTTGGCCACCCATTTTCCCTTCCCTTTTTCCCAAACGCGGAAAGAAAACCCTCGGGTTTTTTTTTGCCGGGGGGTTCATCCTTCAACTTTTGCGGGGGGCTCCCCCCCCCAAGGTTTGCAACCCTTT